CCCCGGCAGCTGCTCCCCCTGCCCCGGGAGCCCCGGCAGCGCCAGGAAAGCTGCTCCCCCAGCAGCTCCCCTGGGGCTGCAGGGAATGGGGACAAACATCCCCTTGGCAGGAAAACCAGCCGGAAGCATCGACCCTTTTCCTTGGCAGGGAAATCCCTGTCCCAGCAGGGTGACGAGGCACGTTCCTTTCCACTCTCCTTGCCTCGGCTCCCCGGGTGCCACAGAACCCTCACAGCCTGCTTGGGAACTGCTGGGGGGTCTCCCCTCCTTGTGCCCTTTCCCCATCCTTGCACCGCAGGCTCCAGGCCCTGGGAGCAGGGAGGTGAGGGACACAGACATGGAACCATCAGGCTCCCATCCCAGCCAGGCTGGCACGTCATTCCTGACACGCTCCGGGATGGACAAGGGGCTATTTTCACACTCCTGCCACGCTCTGTAGAAATAGACGCTTTTATTTGAAGGCTCCTCGGCTCTTGGGCTGCTTAAAATGGCATATTTTAGTAAAAATCAGACCTGCTGCTGCCTGCTGTTGTCATCAGCTGCTTTACCACGTCGTTCCAGACAAGGAGCAGGAGTGACAGGGCTGAGACTTGGGCTGGACTCAGCAGATCCAGGGAGTTGTACCCTTCCCTTTGAGGGAAAGGAGCCTATTGTTGTTTCCCCCCACACCCACGGTGCTGCTGGTAGATTTTCTGCCCTATAACCCCCCCCTGTTGTCTCTCTGGAGCTGTTTCTGAGCTGTGTCACAGCACCGGGCTGCGCCTTGACCACGGCTGCTCCCACGGGGACACCAGCTTCCCACGGGTGGCTTTCCTCGGGGTTTTGCATCTTCCATGAGTCACTTCCTCACAGCCTGGTTCCCTGGCTGGCTCAGGAGAACCGAGGCAGCTCCAGGGTCATCACCAGCACTCGCTGTCAGCACAGGAGTGTCCAAGAGCCAACGGGAACCACCAGCTTCTGAGAATCAATTGAAGCCTCTTTCCTGTATTATTGATGCCATGGCCGTGCTACAAGACCCACTGGAGCCACTTCCAGGCTCTCACCACCCTCACACCAAACAATTTCCTCCTCATGTCCCACCTCAATCTCCCTCTTCCAGTTTTAATCCCTTCCCCCTTGTCCTCTCCCTCCCTGCCCTTGTCCCAAGTCCCTCCCCAGCTTTCCTGGAGCCCCTTCAGGCACTGGAAGCTGCTCTAAGGTCTCCCTGGAGCCTTCTCTTCTCCAGCCTGAACACCCCAACTCTCCCAGCCTGGCTCCAGGGCAGAGCTGCTCCACTGGCCCCTGGCCCAGGTTGCCCAGGGAAGCTGTGGCTGCCCCATCCCTGGCAATGTTGAAGGGCAGGTTGGATGGGGCTTGAAGCAA